TCTTCCTCCAGTTTTGTTGTTTGTTTGTTTGTTTGTTTTGGAGACAGAGTCTTGCTCTGTCGCCAGGCTGGAGTGCAGTGGCACGATCTTGGTTCACTGCAACCTCCGTCTCTTGGGTTCAAGCAATTCCCCTGCCTCAGCCTCCTGAGTAGCTGGGACTACAGGCACGCACCACCACACCCAGCTAATTTTTTGTTTTAGTAGAGACAGGGTTTCAACATGACCAGGGTGGTCTCAATCTCCTGACCTCGTGATTCGCCCACCTCAGCCTCCCAAAGTGATGGGATTACAGGCGTAAGCCACCGCACCCGGCCCTTCCTTCGGTTTCTTAATTCATTCTTTGTGGCTGCCCACTTCGCTCCTTCTTTCATTTCCTGAGATCCAGAGATACCAATAATCCTTTTGAGTGGGGTTTTTCTAAGAATGCCTGTAAATACATCAATTTGTTTACTTCAAATGAGCCTTCTTTTGACCACTGCAAAGCAGGATTTTTATAAGTATACTTACGCCAAATATGAGAGAAAAAATAAGCCTTTTATTTTTAAGAAAGAGACCTACTGACAACATTCTAGGCATCTCATATTTTTCTACTGTTAAAGCCAGTGATGAATCAAATGGGACCTTTAATGAGTTATGCATTTTGCCCAATTGTAACTCACAATTTGCAGGAAGGCTTTGGAATTTTCCCTGCGAACCGAATCCCACTCAGCCAAAGTAGTCAGAGGGAGACTTTTTAGCAAATATTGAGCCTTCTTACCTAATCATCTATGACCACAAATCCTCCAACAAATTCACCCAGCAAAAGGACTCACTTGAAGTGTAACAGTCATCCTTATTGCCAAATTGTTGGGGTAAAAAAGTAATCAAGGCCCAAAGGAATATGATAATTCATAAAATACAGAATTAACTGATTTTGTTAATGAGCAGAAAACCCTGCATCCATGCAGCTAGCCCGTAAGTAGCTATAAAGCTATGGTGAATGTTCTCTGTGTATATGGAATTAAAGCTACGGTCCTTTTTTTAGTAAACAGTCAACAGATAGTTCATTTGCATCAGTAACTACATAGCACTTACTCTGACATCCTGTTTTTCATAATGCTTTCTCTGGCTCACTCTGATTTTGTAATTCTTTATCAGTACCTCCTCCAGTTATTGTATCTAGCACATAGGATGAGTCACACCCTTCAAGGTTAGATTAAGTTCAGTCTCCCAAAACCTCTCCTAGTGTGACAACTCTCATCTTCAGGTTTGAGCCACCAGGTAACTGTCTGCTCAGGCTTAAATTATTATACTATGAATGATTCTGGATCTTGCTGCCTGACACGGACTTCCAAGACAACACCAACCATTCTAGGGATTTCATGGTTGGCATTCATTTTGGAGGCTGATCAGGGGTATATTGGCTAGGAAAGTCCTGGTAACTTAGGGATCCACCCTGCTCATCCCCACTTACCTGCCTTTCCCGCCTCATGTGAAAGATAAGAACTGCAGCTTGCCCCCAAGTGCCATCTAAAGCTGGAAGGAGGATGAAAGGCAATTGCCAATTATATTGAATCTAATTTCAAGTTCCTGTGGGGTTTTACTGTACCTGGATGCAGAGCTACTGTGTTTTAGAGAAAGCATGCCTTCAACTTCATAGAAGTATTGCCAAATTGCTCTCCCAAATAGTTATGCCAATTTGCACTCCCACCTGTGATGTATGAGTTCCTACTTTCACACATTCTTGGCAACATCTGGTGTTTGCAGACTTTATTTTTACCAATCTGATGGGTGTGAAATAGTGTCTCATTTTGGCTTTAATTTGCATTTCTTTACTATTGAACATCTTTTCCTATGTTCATTGGTCATTTGGGTTTCCTCTTCTGTGAAATGATTGTTCATATATTTTGCATTAAGAAACAACTGGTTACCTCTTTTAATATGTAAGTGCTTTATATTCTGAGTCCTAACCTTTTGATGGGTTTTGTATGTTGCAAATCTCTTCTCCAAAGCTATGACCTGTTTTTTAATTATGGAGTCTTTTGTGTAAAGAACTTCTATGTGCTCTAATATAACTATTTTCCTTAATAGCATGTGTTTCTATGTCTTGTTTAAGAAGTATTTTCTTATCCTGGTGTGAATGTCTCTGGTAATTTCTTCTAAAATATAATTTTTATATTAAAATATTTGATCTATCAGCAATTCATTTTTTGTATATGATGTGAGATTAAAATGCAGTTTCATTTTTTCCGTAGGAATAACCAGTTGCCCTGGTACCATTTGCTAAGTAGCTCATCTTCTCCTCATTGATGTGTAATGCACCTTCTTGTTGGCCTTTTATTTTTCCATATTAATTTTAAGATTAGGTTCTCAAGTTTTGAGAAAAAAACCCTTTGGAGAATTTCATTGGAATTGCAACATACAGATAAATTTGAAAATATTTGCCGTCTTTCTTAATTCTTACTGCCCATAAAAATAGTATGTTGTTCTTTTATTTAGGTCTTCCCTTATGCCCTTTAATATAGGTTTTCAATTTTCATTTTATATATAAAGCTCTTGCATGCCTTTTTTTTTTTTTTAAGATTTGCATGGCTTTTATTACATTACAAATGAGATCTTTTTAAATTAAAATTGTAAATTGGTTTTGCTGCTATAGCAACACTAATTTTTTAACAAGGACATTATATCTGCAATATAGTAACATATTGTGGCAAATTCATATATTGTATGTAAGTTTCCATATGGTTTTTTAAACATTTTTTTTCTCCTTAGTTTTGTGCAGAATTTGTGTCTGTCCATTAGATCAAGCTTGTAATTGATTATTTCAATTATCTGTTTACTTATTAAATGTTTTCTGCTTCTTTGGTCAATTAGTAGGATTGTGGATTTTTTCATTTCTTCTAGTAATACTGTGATCTTTTGCGTTACCAATATGGAGACTGAGTTTAGAATGACTATAGCATCCTATTAATTGTTCCCTTTTTACTGTTACATAGTAACTTTTCTGCTTCTAATAATGGTTTTTACCTTAAAATATATTCTTTTTCTGTTATTCATAGAGCTATGCCAGTTTTCTTTTGGTTCATGGTATGCCTCGCTGCAAATAACAGAAAACTTGACTACAGTTTCTTAAACACATGGAAGATTATGTTTTTCTCAACAAGATGGAGATATTTACCATTAACGATGAGCCGCTTTTCATCTTCATTCTTGTTTTTTCCCTGTGAGTCTTTGTGGGCAGTGAGGATAAAGAAAACAATCTTTATTATCAGAATTGCATAGTACAGTATCCTGTTTTAACATCCACAGAATCTATCCCGGAATTGTAAATGATTTGCTGTTTGCACACATCTTATGAAAGTAAATTATTTAATTAATTAGCTAGAATGTTTCTAGAGTGAGTAGATGTGACACTTATCCTTACCAAATGAAATTACCAGGAAGAAATGTTTATCAGCCCTGTCATTAGGGCCAGAAGCAATTAAATGCTCAACTGTAGGTAAACCAAGTATCATTAGTTTACTAGCAAAGCTTAATACCGTAGATTTCAGACAAGATCTGGTTCATTTAGGGTGGTGTGGCCATAGACACAATGCAACAGATTTCAAAGCATTAATGCAAACTGAAAATATAGTAAGGTTTTAGTTGTCTAACGTTTTCCATCTAGGAATACTTGGTACATGTGTTCTCTCTAGAGATACCATTTTCTACAGTTTTTCAGAAGACTGATTTAAATATCAGTATTTTCCATGAAACCTAACATCAATTTGTACCTTTTGCTGGGGCGTTCACCAGGCTATCAGGTAACCCTTATTACCTAGAAAATGACCTCAAAAATCTCCCTTTCCTTATCCCATTCTCTGAAAGTTCCAGTGCATCTGATTTCCTGTCTAATCATGCCCTGGACCATTAGGACAGAACTGTGGAACAATGTATTGTCTCTGTTTGTATTTGGATCCTTCTTCATCCGCAAAGCAAGTTATTCTACTTCTTTTTTGTACTAAAAATGATTAGCCATATATTAGTTGGTTCTAGTGTTTCCCAGGAACCCCAGAACACAATATGCCTAATATTTAGTTTATGCTAAAAGTTAATAAAGCATTTACCTACATTATTTCATTCAGCCCTCTTTAGTCCTAAGAAGAAAAAAAGTCTCCATTGTAGATAACAATTGGAGCCTTCACATTATGAAAGAACATAATTGCATTCAAAGCAGGAGCGTTTTTCTTCAAAAACATTGGAATAAGTATTATTTTTTAATTATTAGGTTAAAGTGTACAAGCAGGACCTGGTGCTAGATAAATACTTACTGAATGACTACACTTAGTTGTGCATTTTCTTTTCGGCACTAAGGCTGCCAATCCAATTTTGAATGCCCTTTTGTCATTATTAATCCTTGTCCAACACAATATAGTCGAACAGAAACTAGGTGTCTTTTCACTACGGTATACACAAAGTGTTTCTTCTATGAGATTAAGCATTGTGAACATGTTTTTCCTTTCAGTGAGTGTGTAGTATGTTGTTTTACATTGGCCACCTAATAAAGTTTGTACGTGATTCAGTCATTGAGTATTGAAATATACACTAAGAACTCTTGAGAAAGAAAAGTTTTTAGAAACTCATAAGTATTCAGTTCTTCTGTTTTTATAGATTTTTTTTTCTGTATGAGTTCTTGACATTTGACTGAAATTCTTGATGTGGTTGAAGGGAACCCTTTCTGTTTTCTTTATTCTAATCAAAAACAGCTTGTGTCTTTCTGACTAGTTAACCTTTACAACTTTACTTTCGAAAACTCATTTTCTTTCTTCTCTGGAAAATAATTATTCCAATTTTTTTTTTTCTCACAGATCTTGATTTTCAACTAGTTATCTTGATGTGTCTCTGGGCTATAAACTCCCATTTTAAACCTGGCATTTCTTATTACTGTTGTAATTATGTAATCATTTCTGTTTACAAACTTGACTTAATTTACTTGAATTTAAATTTCGTTGTGTTTTAAGTGTTCTATAATAATCTTTCAGCCATGGAAACAAAGAAGTGTTTTCCTGCAGAGGAATAAAATTGGCAGTGGATTGGTTTTTGGAAAGAGGCCACAAAGATATTACAGTTTTTGTTCCTGCTTGGAGGAAAGAGCAATCCCGACCTGATGCTCTCATTACAGGTAGGCATATTCCAGACAGTTGCTTGTTCCTAGCTTTCCTATAATTCCCGTGCAGGTGTCTGGCACTGTCAGATATCCTAATCCATCTCATTCATGTAAGAGGGAGTCTCATGATATCACCCAGGAATGGGGTGCAGTGGCGCGATCTTGGCTCACTGCAGTCTCTGCCTCCTGGACTCTTTGCTTCAGCCTGCCGAGTAGCTGGGATTACAAGCATGTACCACCACACTCAGCTAATTTTTGTATTTTTAGTAGAGACAGGGTTTCACCATGTTGGCCATGCTGGTCTCAAACTCCTGACCTCAACTGATCCGCCTACCTTGGCCTCCCAAAGTGCTGGGATTATAGGCTTGAGCCACCGCCCTGTCCTGTTTTTGACTTTGAAAACTTTCTGATTTTATTAATAAAACATTAATCATTGCTACATAACCCAGTTTTTTTTTCTTTTGTTGAAACTCTGACTTCAAATTTTTTTTAATTCTGACCCTTAGAGAGATGCCAGGAGTCACAAGACCTGAATCCAAATTCTGGCTTTACCATTCACCAGCTAAGAAGACTTTGAGCCACACAGTGAACCCTTTTGGACCCCAATTTTTCTCATGTGCTATTATGACATTGGACTAGGTGGCAGTCAGATTCTAATGACAATAGTTCAAAAAAGACATGTAAGACCCTAAAGTGTGCTTCAGTCCAGTCAAAAGAAATGTATTTTGCATTATTTTGTAGTTTTAAAATGTACGAGTTTCAGGCAATGATGTCTTCTGTAACTGTTAATTATTGTTGTTGAACATTTTGCTCAATTTCAGTGATTCACAATCAACATCCAACCTTTCTTGTCCTTCTCTCCACATCCAATATTGATAAAAACTGGGGCATCTGTATAAAGAAAGAAAACTATAAAACATTTTAAATCAAAAACAAATAAAGAGACCACCTACCATATATCCAAAGGAGATGATTAAGACTTAATTTTTGGCCGGGTGTGGTGGTTCATCCTTATAATCCCAGCACATTGGGAGGCTGAGGCAGGCAGATCACTTGAGCGCAGTAGTTAGAGACCATCCTGGGCAACCTAGTGAAACCCTGTTTCTACCAAAAATACAAAAAATTAACCAGGGGTGGTGGCATGCACTGTGGTCCCAACTACCTGGAAGGCTGAAGTGGGAGAATTGCTTAAGCCCAGGAGGTAGAAATTGCAAGTTGAGATTGCACTACTGCACTCCAGACTGGGTGACAAAGTAAGACCCCATCTAAGAAAAATATAAGACTTAATTTTTATGTATAATTACTACATCACTGTTAAATTAACACAAGAATGAATAGACAAGTAATGTTGAAATCCAAAGCATGGACTCAGACCCTAACCTATGTATGAATGTAAAGCAGAGAGGTCTTCATTCAGTCAGTAGCATCAGATATTGGCTAACCCTTTGGAAAAAGTACACTTGTTTAGACCCTTATCTTACACCATATAATAATAAATTCCAGGTGGTTAAAAATTTAATTGTCAAAAATCAAACCATCAAAGACCACAAGAATTTTCTAAATTTAAAACTTTTAGAAGAAATCACGAAGGAAAAGAAAGATTAAATTATATCAAAAGTAAAGCTCCAGCATTTTGAGAAACTTTCTTAAAAATGATAATTGACCAGTTGCCTGAGGAAAAAAATGCAGCAAAGCAAAGAATCATGTTCTTAATATAAAAAGCTCATACAGATTGATTTTTTAAAAAAACAAAACTTCTCTCTAGTATATAAGCAGCAAAAGGCTAGGAATAGACAACTCCCAGAATACAAGCACCAAATAAGAAGGAAAAAAAGTTCAACCTCATTAGTAATTAAATAAATATAAATCTAAATAATGTTATTGTTTACCCAACAAATTAGCAGAGACAGCTGGACCCGGTGGCTCATGCCTGTAGTCCCAGCACTTTGGGAGGCAAGGCGGATGGATCACTTGAGGTCAGAATTCAAGACCAGCCTGGCCAACATGGCAAAACCCTCTGTCACTAAAAACACTTGAAAACTGATAGCACTCAGTCCCCTGAAGCAGTTACTCATAGGCTGCTGTGGAAATTTTTACAACCTGTCAAGAAAGTAGTTGGTGTTAAAATGTTAATACTCTTGGATCTACTAGTTCCCCTTCCAAGAATAAGTTCCAAGAAAATAAGCACAAGTATAGACAAATATTTATGACCAAAGACATCTCATGTAATGTTATTTAGAATAGCAAAATAAAAGTGTTCATTCATTGGCAGAATGGTTCAATATTAGGTTGTATCAAAATGATAGAATATGCATTACAATATTCAGATAGAATTTTTATGTTCTTTTACATAAAAGGCAGATTTTATTATTGTATGTCTGTGTACACAGGCAGGCATACATATATAGACATATATTAACAATGGAAAGAAAAAAATGCACAGAAAATGATGAGAAGGAAATATACCAAACTGTTAGCAGCAGTTGCCTCTGAGTTGCAACTTTGTGAGGTCTTTATTTCTCCTTGCTTCTTAGTACTTGTCCTTACCTTTCTAATTTTCTACAGGGAACTTACAATATTTTGATAATAGGGGAAGGGGTAAAGTAAACTAAAAAAAGAAAAACAATATTTAAGCATGTAAATGACTTTAAAGCTTCTTGAACATTAAAGAAATATGAAAGCAAGAAGAGAAAATGATAGTATACTGTGTGAAGCGTGGCTAGGTTTAGTTTTTAAAATACCAGCATGCCCATCCCTGGAACACATCAATATGCAGATTGCTTTGTAAAATGCCAAACTAATGTCAGAGGCTTTTAGGTATTATAACCCCAGGGTAATAATTCTCTTGACTAAAACCCTCAACCAAAATTGAGTAGCCCCGTACTCTTTCACTGCGTCAAAAAAGACACTTGATAAAAAATATTTTTAAGTTGTCAGCATCGTAGATTCAGATTAGCACTTTTGCCAGGCTTCCATTCATTTACCGAATATTTAACAAGCACTAGCTATATGTAATTGCTGTGCTAAGAACTAGAAATTCAGTTAACTTACCAGTTTTATTGAACCCATTTTACTTAGGTCAGGATTATTTATGTCATCCGAATTAGTATCCTTCCAACCTCTTTAGCAATTAAAGAAATGCAAATTAAGCAAGATTATGACTGTTAGGCCACGGAACGTAATCTACAACTCACTTTGGTGAGGCTCAAGACATGACATATGTGAGTAAACATCCTCATAATTAATAAAGTACCATAGATTACTCATGAACATAAGACAATGAATGGACTGAAAGCCTTCAGAGTATATAGGTTTAAGTAGCTCATTTATTCATTCCACAGATGTTCATTAAAAATCTACCGATGTGCCTCATGGGCTGGGTGCTGATGGATACAAAGATCAATGATACATGGCACCTGCCCTCAAAATGTTTATCAGGGAAGTAACACAAAACTGTAATATGACAGCTCCTATAGCTGACAACTCCTATAGTGAGATTTTTTTTTTTTTTTGAGACAGAGTTCTACTCTTGTTACCCAGGCTGGAGTGTAGTGGTGCAATCGCGGCTCACTACAACCTCCGCTTCCTGGGTTCAGGCAATTTTCCTGCCTCAGCCCCCTGAGTAGCTGAGACTACAGGCGCACACCACCATGCCCAGCTAATTTTTGTATTTTTAGTAGAGACGGGGTTTCACCATGTTGACCAGGATCATCTCGATCTCTTGACCTCGTGACCCACCCGCCTCAGCCTCCCAAAGTGCTGGGATTACAGGCATGAGCCACCGCGCCCGGCCAGTAGTGAGCTTTTTTTTTAAAAAAATCATGACATCTGTAGGTTTGTGCCCTGCACTCTGTGCCAGAATTTACAATGGTAGGAAAATGGGGGACAGAGGAGTAAAAGTAGGAGGAAAGGATGGTTGAAAAGAATTTTTATCATTGATCAACATATGAACTCCAGTACCCTTTTTTTAGTCACAAAACAAGTCAATAGAGTTACTTTTGTAACTATAAGAGTTTTTGCTGTAAGAGTGTGCCAAGCAGCTGGACACAGTGGCTCACGCCTGTAATCCCAGCACTTTGGGAGGCTGAGGCAGGTGGATAACCTGACGTTAGGAGTTGGAGACCAGCCTGGCCAACATGGTGAAACCCCGTTTCTACTGAAAATACAAAAATTAGCTGGGCATGGTGATGGGTGCCTGTAATTGCAGTTACTCAGGAGGCTGAAGCACGAGAATCACTTCAACCTAGGAGGCGGAGGTTGCAGTGAGCTGAGATCGCACCACTGCACTCCAGCCTGGGTGATAGAGTGAGACTCAGTCACCAAAAAAAAAAAAAAAAAAAAGAGTATGCCAACCACAGACAAAATGAGCGTCCCTCTACCTGGCCTTTTCTAATCAACAGATGTTTTCCCCACATAATCACTTTTTATCTTTTACTTAGTCTCCTCCCCACCAGAATGCTGGCATTCATTACCATGTTTCACAGAAAGGTCATGGACCATATCATAGCCTAGCACCACTTCTGACCTCACTGCCTCCTCTCTTTTTGAACTTTCTGAATTTAAAGATATTTCCTCGGCTGGGCACGGTGGCTCATGCCTGTAATCCCAGCACTTTGGGAGGCAGAGCCAGGTGGATCATCTGAGGTCAGGAGTTCAAGACCAGCCTGGCCAACATGGTGAAACCCCGTCGCTACAAAAATACAAAATTAGCTGGGCATGGTGGCACATACCTGTAATCCCAGCTACTCGGGAGGCTGAGGCAGGAGAATTGCTTGAACCCAGGAGGAGAAGGTTGCAGTGAGCTGAGATCACACCATTGCACTCCTCAGCCTGGGTGACAGAGCAAGACTCCGTCAAAAAAAGAAAAAAGAATAAAAATGCTTTTTCCCTTTGCTGCTTTGACAATTTCTGCTTCCTTTCATACTTTCCCACTAGTTAGAAGAAAATAACTACAAATACGCAAACAAACTTGGGAGGAAAAAATGTGTTGTTCACACCTGAACCCTACACCCCATACAGCTGCTTTGAATGGCGTTAAAGTAGGAACGCAGAAGAAACTGTGTCCATAGTGGTCCTGCTGATGACTCCAGCTCTTAAGCAGAAGCTTCACCTAATGACAGTCAGAATTTGCCCAATCATGTTTCAGTTTTACGCTGTTCATCTTTTTTCAATTATGTTTAAAGCCTTTATTATTAAAATTTCTGAAGGAAAAATACTATTGACAGTTAGAAATTACAGTCCACAAATTAAATCATAATCCCTAATTAAAGGATTACGTATATACAGCTCATGTTATAAAATTTCACACTGTATGAAAGTTGCTGTGTGTGTTAGATGTGTATTTAATTTCTGAAATCCTACCCTTATTATTCTTGCAGATCAGGAAATTTTACGTAAATTAGAGAAGGAGAAAATCCTGGTGTTCACACCATCCCGGCGAGTCCAGGGGAGGCGAGTGGTGTGCTACGATGACAGGTTCATCGTGAAGCTGGCTTTTGAGTCGGATGGTATCATTGTGTCCAATGACAACTACAGGGATTTGGCTAATGAGAAACCAGAATGGAAGAAGTTCATAGATGAACGATTATTAATGTATTCATTTGTCAATGACAAGTAAGTAAACCTTTTACTTGCCAGTGATACTGCATCCATGAAAATATAACTATCCCTGGCAGCTGCTACAGAATTCTCTTTTTGCCGCTGATGAGACCTCAAACAGGTTTCTAACAACTCATCTCCCCACCATGCCTCAGTGGGAGTCAGGAGAACTGCAGAATCATTGCTGCAGGAGGCCCGGTGCGAGTGGCAGGCCTGCCTTTCCCTGTAAATCACTCAGAGAACACCTGAGGCGAGGAAGTCTTCTATGACTCCGTCTGAAGAACCTGAGGAAACTGGCATAGGGGGATTCTCATCTTCACCCTCAAAGGATTGCCTTAAAATCAATGTAGAGCAGTGATAGCTACTAAATAAGCCATGCTTGGATTAACAACAGGGATACATTCTGAGAAATTCATCCTCAGGCGATTTCATCATTGGTGTGAACATCATAGAGTGTACTTACATGAGCATAGCTGGTACAGCCTGCTACATACCTGGGCGATGCAATACATACAGCCTTTTGCTCCCAGGCTACCAACCTGTGTAGCATGCTACTGTACTGAATACTGTAGGACAGTTGTCATACAATGGTAAGATGTGTTTGTGTATCTAAAGATACCTAAACACTGAAAAGGTATATACACCATAAAATATGGTATAAAAGATTTCTAAATGGTTCGTCTGTGTAGGGCACTTACTATGAATGGGGCTTGCAGGACAGGAAGTTGCTCTGAGTGAGTCAGTGAGAGAATGTAAAGGCCTCGGACATTACCATAAGCTACCATAGACTTTATAAACACTGTACCCTTAGGCCATACCAAATTTATCAAAAAATACTTTTTTTCAATAATATATTTACCTTGGCTTATAACTTTTTTACTATTAATATATAAACTTCTTAGTATTTAAAACATTTTTCTTTTTTGTAATAACACTTAAAACACATTGTACAACTATACAAAAATATTTTCTTTATATCCTTATTCTATAAACTTTTCTATTTTTATTTTTTCCTTTCTTTTTAAACTTTTTGTTAAGAATTAAGACACAAACACATTAACCTAGGCCTACACAGGGTCAGGATCATCAAAATCGCTGTCTTCCACCTCCACATACTGTTCCCCGGAAGTCTTCTAAGGCAATGCAATGCGTGGAGCTGTCGTCTCCTATGATAACAATGCCTCTTTGAAATACTTCTGAAGGAACTGCATGAAGCTGTTTTACAGTTAATGTTTTCTTAGACGTAGAAGGAATACACTCTAAAATAGAAACAAAAAGTATGATATAGTAACTACATAAACTGGTAACATACTTGGGTTTTTATTTGTTTTGTTTTTGTTTTTGTTTTTCGAGATGGAAGTCTTGCTCTGTCGCTCAGGCTGGAGTGCAGTGGTGCCATCTCGGCTCACTGCAGCCTCCACCTCCCAGGTTCACGCAATTCTCGTGCCTCAGCCTCCTGAATAGCTGGAATTACAGGCATGCCCCACCACACCTGGCTAATTTTTGTTTTTCTAGTAGAGACGAGGTTTCACCATGTTGGCCAGGCTGGGGTCTGCCTGCCTTGACCTCTCAAAGTGCTGGGATTACAGGCATGGGCCACCACACACGGCCAGTAACATCGTTGTTTATCAAGTATTATGCACTGTCCATAATAGTACATGCTACACTTTTATACAACTAGGGGCACAGTAGCTTTGTTGTACCAGCATCAGCGTGATCACAAACACATAAGTAATACATTGTGCTATTATGTTACCAGCAACTTTTCAGCTCCACCATTATATATGCAGTCCATTGTTGACCAAGATGTTATGCACTGCATGGCTGGCTATATATGAATTTTTAAAGTTCTTACACTAATGTAAGACTCTGGTCATGATTAGAATCTAAAAGTTGATAGGCCAGGTGCAATGACTCATGCCTGTAATCCCAGCACTTTGGGAGGTCGAGGCTGGTGGATCACATGAGGTCAGGTGTTCGAGACCAGCCTGGCCAACATGGTGAAACCCCATCTCTACTAAAAATAGAAAAATTTGCCTGGTGTGATAGTGCAGGCCTATAATCCCAGCTATTTGGGAGGCTGAGGCAGGAGAATTGCTTGAACCCAGGAGGCAGGGATAACAATGAGCCAAGATTGTGCCACTGCTCTTGAGCCTGGATGATGGAGCAAGACTCTTTCTCAAAAAAAAAAAAAAAGTAAAAGTTGATGAATAAACAAATGGCTTCAACAATCATGCCTCATGAAAAGTAAATATATTTATAAATATGTAGAAAAAAATCACCTCTTGCTAATCAAAAGTGCAAACTGAATCTAAAAAGAATATATTTCTCATTTAATTCACAAAAATAGTTTTGCGTGTATGTTTGCTATTAAAGATGCACTGATAGATTATTTGATAAAGGTTCATGGAAGCCTCAAAAATACTGTATTCTATCAACCTAAAAATCTCATTTCTTGGAATATATAATGAAGAATAAAGACCAGATATGTTCATATCTGTGTTATTTATAATTGCAAGAATTAAAGGGCAATTAAATGTACAATAAAGAAAACAATCAAATTATGATAAATCTCCTACTGGAATAGTATTCAGCTCTTCAGAGTTACTATGAAAAGAAGAATTATGCCAGGCACAGTGGCTCATGCTTGTAATCCTAGCACTTTGAGAGACCGAGGTGGATGCATCACCTGAGGTCAGGAGTTTGACACCAGCCTGGCCAACATGCGGAAACCCCATCTCTACTAAAAATACAAAAAAAAACATTAGCCAGGTATAGTGGTGGGCACCTGTAATCTTAGCTACTTGGGAGACTGAGGCAGGAGAATTGCATAAACCTGGGGGGTGGAGGTTGCAGTGAACCAAGATCATGCCACTTACTCTAGCCTGGGCGAACCAGTGAAACTCTGTGTCAAAAGGAAATCTGTGTTTGATTAAAGCCATGAAAAAATGATGTGTGCACACTGAAAATGGCTTAAATCTGACACAGCAGAGACGTGGAGAGTAATTGTATTGAGATTATGGGATTGAGTGACTTTGTCTTCTATTTTGTAACATGTAATGTTGCCATATTGTTTGTAATAATAAACACTATATTTGCTAAGCGTTACTACTCAGTCATGTTGACACTCCTTTAAATGTTCATACATTATTTCCACTATTCACATTTTATAGGTAAACACTTGAGTTTAAGTTCAAATGCTGATATAATGAGTAGCAGAATTCTTCAAGCATAACTTCATTATTCATGTCATAAATTATTCTCCTCTGTATTAGTCCATCCAAAATAGTAAGTTTAGTTCCTTAGCATTTTTTCTATATCAGCTGAGAAACAAATTCAAATAGGGGAAGAGAATAGTTCGGAATTATATATAATTGGACTTGACTATGCCATGCGACATTGGATAAAAATCACTTAATTTACCTAAACCTAAATTAGAAACGTTTACGATTCTGTAAAATAGAGCAAATACTTCATGGGACCATGGTTAGGATGCCGTGGCGTAGTGTGTCACGTGCCTGGAACTAACCAGTGTTTGGTAAGTTCATACCCTCCCCTCGTGTTCTAGCCCCCTCCCTTCTCAGCTGCCCCGCCTCGCCCCACCTGTAGCAGTCCACTTCACAAGGTCTATGTTGATTAAACTCTCCTAAAGTGTCACTGGAATCACTTTCTAAAACCCTTACAATATCCCAAGACTGAGAGGAAGGAAGAATTAATAGGACATGCTCAACTCAAAACTTGAATTAAATACAATTTCAGTTTTCAAACAGTTTAATTTTCATTAAGAAATGAGAACTTCATGTGCTGATTTTTTTAAACTGTAAACATTGAATTAAAATGCTTGGATTAAAATTTCAAAAAGAAATTCTTATAGTGAACAAATCTTTGTACTGTTTTCAGAATTAAATTATCAGCCTCCTAGTTAGGTGTCATTTTTCACTATCTCCGTGACAGGTTCATGCCCCCTGATGACCCTCTTGGCAGACATGGCCCCAGTCTGGATAATTTTCTGAGGAAGAAACCTATTGTTCCTGAACACAAAAAGCAGCCTTGTCCATATGGTAACTTTCTTTATGAATATTGAGTATATGCCTTTAGAACACAATATTTTGTTAAACTTTTGTTAACAGAAATAAACACTTAAAATTTTGGATGGTATAATATGTGGTTCTTTGGATTCCAATTAAATTTCAGAAAATGTGTTAGCCATGAAAAAATATTTTTACCTGTTTGGATTCAATAGAAATGCATTGAATAAAACATGGCTCAAAAAACACTGTTAATTCTACATGAAGTTAGTTTTTAAGTGAAGAAAAATTTGGGAATTTTTTTTAATCTAGAAACAAATCAAATGAGCATGGTTCTATCGCCTACAGTAGTACACTATGCTCTTCAAAACAGAATTTCCTACCTAATTGTAAAGTCCTACTAGAAGAGAAGGGGCAGGTAGCAGTTGAGGACACGGAGGTACTAGCCAAATGTTCTGGAGGTGGCCGGGCGCAGTGGCTCACACCTGTAATCCAAGCAGTTTGGAAGGCTGTGGTGGGGGGATCACATAAGGCCAGGAGTTGAGACCAATCTGATTAACATGGCGAAACCTGGTCTCTACTAAAAATATAAAAATTCACTGGGTGTGGTGGCGCATGCCTATAATTCCAGCTACTCAAGTGGCTGAGGCACAAGAATTACTTGAATCTGGGAGGCAGAGGTTGCAGTGAGCTGAGATCATACCACTGCACTCCACCTGGGTAACAGGGCAAGATGCTGTCTCCAGAAAAAAAAAAAAAAAGTTATGAAGGTGATTATTACTCATTCGGCCAACTTCCTACTGCTCTTGATAGTAAGAAAGTGAGAAGACTGAGAAGTGACACTTCTCAGGAGTAAAGAACAGGGTAATACTCAGCACAACTCCCAATTCTGTCTTTGTCTCTTCTACAAGTTAAAAACATAGGGCCAAACTGAGTTTTCAGGATCTGATGGTATGCTCCTTTGCCTAATTAATTTTACTCTCCTTAGGAAAGAAGTGTACCTATGGACACAAGTGCAAATATTACCATCCCGAAAGGGGCAGTCAGCCGCAGCGGTCAGTGGCTGATGAACTCCGTGCCATGTCCAGAAATACGGCAGCCAAAACTGCAAATGAAGGGGGACTGGTGAAAAGCAACAGTGTTCCTTGTAGCACCAAGGCTGATAGCACTTCTGATGTCAAAAGAGGTGCTCCAAAGAGGCAATCAGATCCAAGCATAAGGACTCAAGTCTACCAAGACCTAGAAGAAAAGCTTCCCACCAAAAACAAATTGGAAACAAGGTCCGTACCTTCCTTAGTTAGCATCCCAGCTACTTCTGCTGCAAAACCCCAAAGCACTACATCTTTAAGCAATGGCCTTCCATCTGGAGTTCATTTCCCACCTCAGGATCAAAGACCACAGGGACAATATCCTCCAATGATAATGGCAACCAAAAATCATGGAACGCCAATGCCTTATGAACAGTATCCAAAATGTGACTCGCCTGTTGACATTGGATATTATTCCATGCTGAATGCATACTCAAATCTGAGTCTCTCAGGCCCACGAAGCCCTGAAAGGCGTTTCTCCTTAGACACAGATTATAGAATAAGTTCCGTAGCTTCTGACTGCAGCAGTGAAGGGAGCATGAGCTGTGGGAGCAGTGACTCCTACGTGGGGTACAATGACCGGTCCTATGTCAGCTCCCCCGACCCACAGCTAGAGGAGAATCTGAAGTGTCAACACATGCACCCTCACAGCCGCCTTAATTCTCAGCCCTTCCTGCAGAATTTCCACGACCCCTTAACCAGAGTGCAAAGTTATAGTCACGAAGAACCAAAGTTCCATCACAAGCCTCCTCTTCCGCACTTGGCTCTGCACCTGCAGCACCCCGCTGTGGGCGCCCGGTCCAGCTGTCCTGGCGACTACCCCTCTCCTCCAAGTTCAGCACACTCTAAGGCACCACACCTAGGGAGGTCCTTGGTGGCCACGAGAATAGACAGCATCTCTGACTCTCGACTTTATGACAGTTCTCCTTCAAGACAAAGAAAGCCTTATTCCCGCCAGGAAGGTCTGGGAAGCTGGGAGAGGCCAGGTTATGGGATCGACGCCTATGGGTACCGGCAGACTTACTCGTTGCCCGATAACTCCACGCAGCCGTGTTATGAGCAGTTCACCTTCCAGAGCCTCCCTGAGCAGCAGGATCCAGCCTGGCGGATCCCGTACTGTGGAATGCCGCAAGATCCCCCCAGGTATCAAGACAACCGAGAAAAGATTTATATCAATTTGTGCAACATCTTCCCACCTGACCTTGTGAGAATTGTCATGAAAAGGAATCCCCACATGACAGACGCCCAGCAGCTCGCTGCAGCCATTTTAGTGGAGAAATCCCAGCTGGGTTATTGAAAGATGATGCATCTTTGTGGTGTTTAGTAGTTTTTTGTTCAGCTCAAATGCTGAGGGAGGTTTGCTACAATAGCACATGTGATCTCCTTCTCAGCAAGGAGGTTATATAGTATCCATTTATGTGAAATACTGTATCATGGAATCTGTATGTATAGCCCCACATGGTGGAAGTATCACAGGATTGCTTTACATTTGAACTTTTTTTTTTAACATTTCCTTTTTAAAGCTATATCCTTGGCTGGAAATTTTTCCAGTTTGATTTAATAGATGTATCTGTGATCTTTGATATTAATCTTTGGTGCATCAGGGGTTTATATGCAGCACTTTTTATCCTTGTTTTGTGTTTTATTAACTTGGTGTTTGCCTATCAATTGCAAGCAATTACAATACCTTCAGAATGTGGGACATTTGACGAGACCTAGCAAACTATTTTTTCAAGCCAAGCTTAATTAGACTCTTTTACAGCTTTTTAAGTTATTTTTATTTGGGGAAAGTGGGCTTCTTTGTGCTATAATCATTATTTATGGAAACAAAGATATACTACAGCACTGACTTTATATTTTAAACAAAATGTAAGTTACCAGTTTTGTGTTGAAATGGGTAACAGTATATATATTAGAATGATTTACAATATGGCACTTTTCATTGTGTTATTTTTGTTTGGATTTTTTTCTGTTAAGAAATTAGTTAATTTAATATGGTCAATTTAAAAGAAAGCAGATGCAATCAATGGAAAAAATGTTTCCATTTTTTTTTTTTTTTTTTTTTTTTTTTTTATGAATAAGGCAAAAGCCGTAACTGTTACAGGTTAGAGCTTCGTTATCCAGCTACGATGTGCTTCTAGACAGTAGAAATGGAATTGATTTCCTAGATTTCCATTAACTTGTATTTTTAATATGTCTGTCTTTTTTGTTTTGGGGCACAACAATACTGGATAAAATAACCCTTTCACAGCACTTGCCAGTTTTTAATGAATCTAATTATTCACAGTGCAACTTTTATATTTAACATGCTCTTTAGCTTTCCTGCTATTTATCAAGGCTGGCCTGAGGTGGTTTTATGTGTTGAGGATATGCAACGTTTCTTGATACTGCACTATAGAAATGGTAATGGAGGAGTTGTAAATGGTAACTTAAAATTTTTGTAAGATATTGTATATTTTCCATTTTCCCGAAGGTAGTTTTCTTGGGGGGCCTGTTATATTGTTAAGGCCAGATTCTTGCCACATATAGTGTAGTTTTAGATACAGACTAAAGTCTGTTCTAGTATTAGTAAGGGATATTTCTGGTTTCAAAGTCATGGGTTTTGCTAGCGGTGAATATATTTCTATGGATTAGAAGATAGATTTTGCAGTCAGTAGCAGACAGTTGTGTGATTGATATCACTTGACTGTTGCCTCCAGATTTTGAATTGTACTTCGAGTAAGAGACGAGTTCAGATCTTTCTCTGTAGTCTGCCTAGATGCCCTGATTATTGTGATTATTCTACATGCTACAGTTTGAAGTAAAGCCCTGAAAAACCAGAAAGTACCTTTTACTGTTGATACAAATTGTATCTTTTTAACTATAAGAACTATTTTGATTTGTAGATCTAGTTAAAACACAAGTATGTAACTATGATTAGACTTTTGGGCAACATTTTATCCCTTATTTAAATACAAATTTTTAAAGTAAAAATTGAGATCTAGAATAGGTTAGAAAATAAAAATAACAATTTAGATAAATAAAAGTGTCTGTCTTAGTTTTATATAATATATTAAAACACATTAAATAAATTTATTGGCATTTTTTTTCTCCTAAAACTTACCTAGTGTGAGCTTAAAATAAAGGTAAAATGCTGCCTGAAAATAATGTCCAAGCACCTTTGACTAGGATAACATTTTCACTACTTGTGCGACACTGTGTGTTGCATGAAGTAGGATTTGGGTATACAGTAAATGCTTCTAAAAGGCATTGTGCATATTGACATATCCAATAATCTGAACCGTGTTCAGCAAACTTAATTCAGGAAAGTGGTATTCTACACAATTATTGCTGTTGTGTTTGAAATGAGTGGCACTCATCTGTACCCAGAAATAATATGGGTGAGGCCACACAACCCATTCTGAGTGGTGTCTGTCTGAGAGCAACCCTACTCACATGTGAAACTGTTCTTGATTTGGTTAGTCACTGTAAAGCAAGTTTAAATGTAGAGGCTAATTCAGTGCCAAAAATAGGGTCATAAATGTGTAATATGTTTTATTTTAGTCATATTCTAAGACTTTTTTTAGTATGAAATCACTTTTAAATTACACATTTAAGTTTTGCTTCCATTTTCTACATTTTAGCATTTTCATTATTTGAACATCTGCCAAGTTTTACTACATAGTATTTCAATGAGATCTTCGGTGAGATGTGTGTGACACTTTGAATTTGACCTTCTTGTGTTATTAGTTGACTATTTGTCATTGCCTCATGGATTTTAAACTAGGGGAAAACAGTGTAGCCAGCTGTCACCTATACTGAAGTGAATAGCTCTGAACTACCCACACTACATCCTTCAGTGTAATTAGTTATCAGTTTAAAAATACCAGTTTTCTTATGTGAAGAGGACAATTTGTCCCCTTTTTTTTTTAAGCACCAATGTTTAGATAAGTAATTCTTACTTATCTAAAGTATCTAAAGCAGTAAGTAAAAGGAGTTCACCATTAAATTCAATCCATCGCTGATCCCAAGCCTTCATTTTAGCCAAAACTTTCTCTCTAACCAAATCATTTACCAGACTTGCTAATAAATAACCAGAGAGGTATGTTAATAATTAAAATTGCCAGACATGGTCAACTGATGAGAGAAAAAGGATTCAGATTGGAGTATTTTGCCCCTGAATAATTGACAGTTGACTGTACTTTTACACAGTAATTAACGAGTCTGTTGTCTCTGTGTCTTAGTCCAGAGGGAATAGTACCCAACTGGCCAAATACTGGCCCTTAGTATTTCCTCCTTTCTTGCATGTGATACAGACATTTTCAGTCTTGTTTTTATGATCGCTCTATATATCCTGATAAGAGTTTGTCATTGACCTACACATTTGGAAGAAATGCCCACCAGGATAAGATATTTGATATTGGTGGAAACTTGAACTTCATGTTTTTATGAAAATTCATTTATGAGAATATGTAATATAACTGAAGAGTATTTTATATATATCTATATATACAAATATGTATTTGTTATGTGGTATTAAAAACAGCGGTTGGGGGGAGTGCTTCTGATGACTAACTTTTCTCTAATTAAACTATGTTTCTTCGTGTTGTGGACGACCAAGTCTGGGGTCTGGATGGCCAGTGATAAGATTTAGAACCACTTGGATGGAAAGCAATTCTTCACTGGTTTTATTCTTGGTATTTTAAAAGAATTATTTTGATAATTGTAATAGAATGTGTACTTTTGAAATACACAAAAAATTTAAAGTAGTATTGATTATACAAATAATTATTTAACATGTCTTTTATGGATGTATCTATATGTATATAGACAGTAATATATTTATAAAACAAATATACTTTGCTTATGTTATAGCTGTTTGTGGCAGGTGGAAGGATGGCTCTGGGTGTGGGTGGGTGTGTGTGTGTGTGTGTGTGTGTGTGTGTTTTGAAAACTCTCAAGCTGTTTTTCCTCTGATTTACAATGGTATTTACTTAGTATATTTGGTTTTCATTATTCTTTTTGCTATCCAACTTCCTTATTCAAGATAAATTAAGATATACCATTTTCTGGCCATTCTATTGGTATATGGTGCATCCATTTTATGATCGTCTAACTCCTGGAGAATTTCTAAGTGACCTGAAATCAAACAGGTTCTGGCTGGACATATGTTTATGTTCCAAATATATTAACGATAGTAATTCAGCTAACATGTTAAGTTTCCAAGGTATATATACCAACAAATAAAATGAGGTATTAAAAAGAGATGCATTACAAAATACACATGCATTAGAATAAGAGAAAACAGTGTTAATGAAAGTAAAGAAACATACACTGTCTTAGCCCCCTAAGGAAGGGGATGACTTTTTCTGTAAAGGATCAGATAGTAAATAATTCAGGAATCATATGGTCTTAAAATGTCATCTTAAGAACTACTCACCTCTGCCTTTATAGCATAAGAACAGCCACAGATGATATGTAAACAAATGAGTGTGGCTGTGTTCCAATAAAACTGTATTTACAGAAACAGGAAGCAGGGCAGATTTGGCCTTCGGGCCATAGTTTGCTGATCCCAAGCAGCAAATCCTAATATATGTTAATAGAAATGATAATTGCATTTCAGTTGACATTAGAAAATCTGACGTCCTTCAAAAGAGAATTGTGAGACACTCAAAGCATCTTAATTCATTTGAGTTTTTTTTACCTGTTGATACCCATTATTGAGATATTTCTTGTGTTTGACTGCAAAAAAAGCATACCGTTAGGGCCGGGCGCGGTGGCTCAAGCCTGTAATCCCAGCACTTTGGGAGGCCGAGGCGGGTGGATCACGAGGTCAAGAGATCGAGACCATCCTGGTCAACATGGTGAAACCCCGTCTCTACTAAAAATACAAAAAATTAGCTGGGCATGGTGGCACGTGCCTGTAATCCCAGCTACTTAGGAGGCTGAGGCAGGAGAATTGCCTGAGCCCAGGAGGCGGAGGTTGCGGTGAGCCGAGATCGCGCCATTGCACTCCAGCCTGGGTAACAAGAGCGAAACTCCGTCTCAAAAAAAAAAAAAAAAAAGGCATACTGTTAAAATGTTTTAATATGTATTGAATTTTTTCATGAACCTTTCTTTTCTATTGATAAATAGGAATCCCTTACCAACCTTTTGTTTTTTAATAGTCTCATGGACCAAAAAAATCTGTTGCAGTATTTAATTAGCCACAAATACATTTTGGCTGCATTTACCAGTTACATTTTTTCTGTTGATTTTGGCTTCTAATAAATGACATATCTGCCATTCTTTAAAAATGATTTTAAAGAAGATAAATATATTGTAATTTCACATGCTATAGCTTTATTCTGTATGATTAAAAATCGTGACTAGTATAATTGTAGCTATAATGTGAGTGGCATGTTTCAATGTAACTCTTTATAAGAAATAAAATGTAACTCTGCTTTGCCTGTCCGGATCTTTAATGTAGGTTTTTCACATGCCTTGGGACTGTCCTTGGTGAATGATATTC